GTAAACCCTGATATGACTCACCAGTTTATCAAGGGTCTGTGTAATAGTTGGCTTCAGTTTGACATGATGAAGTTTGTAGTGATCGCAGATAATTTTAGACAGAGTGCTCTTCCCAACAGCAGGGGGCCCCATAACACAAATGCGGATGGGCTACAGAGAAACAGCAAGCAATAAAAATTTCAAACGCACATTGTCATTATGTTATCCAGTTTTACTGTCAGTTGCCTACCTGTAGTCCTCTGTATTGTCTGTATTCTTGAACTACTTGACCAATGTTTTCCACCAGTCCTTTCTCACACTGCCAAGAAATAGACAGCAGCTCTTTCAAATGGGCCGACTCCATTCTCAAATTCACCGTCATGTAGTCAATTTCCATGACCTAAAAACACATCTTGTTTATCCAAATATAGTTTACGCATGTTTAAATAATCACATTTTACATACAGTGATTTCTCGTATAAGGTAGGCCTCCTCGAGTGGTATTTTCTTGATACTTCCTGGTCCGAGTGCATTAGAAATAGCCTAAAAGGAATAATTATGGAAAAACACACCATGCCATAATGACAGAAAGGGTTAAGTTACGTTACAATAATGACAATTTCACTGTTACTTCACTGTTAACCTGTACAATCTCCTCCATAGTGTGACTGGAATAGTCGACAGCCAAAAGGTAGTATGGGCTTGGGCGGTGTTCAATCACATTCTGTATAACACTGGAAAAAACATTATTGAAGTGCCTATGTCAGGTTGGATAAGCCATTTTACTAAAACACACTTAAGATCATTATATTTAAGATTTCATTAAACCATTAAACTTTTTTTTTTCTTTTTTTTGCCATTTTTAAGGTTTAAATCTTTACTTGCTGGTTGGAAATCATGACATCACACTAGCGAATTTCATAACATTATCTAGCAACTGTGGTATACAGTGGTCTAAAACCCCTCTGATGTACACAGAAATTATTATCTGACAATGGAAAATATAAGAAACCACCTTTACTTTGTTGAAATCATGTTTAAAGTATCAGAAAAAAACGTGTTTCTTGTGTAAATTGGGCCTAACTTTTAAACAGAATTCTCCTAATGTGCTGTTATCTATATGGAACTCTCTGAAATAGAACTGTCTACTTACTGTAGTTTTCAACATATTTTTCAACATTTCTTCACAAATTATATAAATATAATTTATAAATAATTTTTACAATTTATATATAACCAAATTAGGTAAAAAATTGAGAATCATCAGAACCTGTCATACACACTTTAAAAATATAATTATGAAGGGTTGTAAAATATTAATATATGTAATATATTACTGAATGCATTCATTTGTGTCATACCTTGCTAGGTCATTGATGTGGATTGTGGGAACGATGTTGGTGCCATCTCCAAAAACAGGAACTTCAGCTTTCAGTCCCTCCCATGATGTCTACGAATACAATATTAACACCAACATAGATCTTGTATTATCATTCTGTCTGGATGACATGGAGACTGGACAGTTGTCTTACCTTGAAAAAGTAATGAAAGATCTGCTCTCCCATTCCATACTGCATTCCCGACACCACGACATAAGTAGAGAACATGTGTTTATTCTGAGAAGGACACATAATGGTTGTCAATGGAGTAAATCTCAAAGCATACTAAAAAAAAAGGCCCATGATTTATTATATATATATATTATACTAACTGTTTTTCCCAATTGAACCACTCTCTTCTCCAGATCATTGTGAGCTCTGAAGTTTGCATGTGGTCTTCGCCGACGGAAATCTTCATCAGTGAAAGGCTTCTCCTCATCCTCCTGTTGTAAAGCAGAAGTAATCAGCAACAAGTTAAAAACAGTAATAAATAAATAATGTTGTTGTTTTACCATGTACAGTGTCAGTTAGTGTTGTCAAGATACTAAATTTCAATCTCAACTTCGATACAAAGGAATAGACTCACTTCTAATACCACAATGAAAAACACTTGTTCTTTAGACATTATTTTATAATAATGTGGTCTCATATTTATGTAATCCCTCAGTGGTTCAGATAGGTTCCATAGTGGTCCATGGGTGTATACAAGTCTATGTGCTCTTATACTTGTTCTGAACTCAAGATCATTCAAAAACTATTCAGGGAAGGTTAATTTGGGTCTTGTGAATGGGACTTTTTTAGTAACGATACCTACTCAAATTAGTATCTTGTTTGTTGATACTAGTTTTAGTATAGGTAAGTTGATACTTTTGACAACCCTAGTCTCAATTTCACCACAGTGTGAATGTACAGAATTTACTCACTGGATCAATGGGTTTTCTGCAGGCCCAGGTCATGACTGTGGACACAAGGATGAACATCTTTGGCCCAGTGAAATTGTCCAACTCATTGTGAAGGGCTGAACATAGAGACATTTATAAGTGACTTCATAAATACTATCAGCTTGTTTTGTTTTTGTAATAAAACTTAATAGATTACAATAAATGCAGTAATAACAATATATTTAGTAAAAATGCTACCATAAATGGACTGTATAATGACAAATAGTGCAATGCCAATTTTATATGCATACTTGCAACAGCCCAGAAAGCCTCGTCCAGTTGGTCCTGGTGTTGAGTAATGTTATAAACAATTACATTACAGTCCATAAGTTTGGGTAGAAGCTCCTCCCTTTTCAGCTGCTAAAATGAGACAAAAACAAAAAAATGTAAATTATTTTTGATGATTAAAGGTTCTATATTACACAAAATACACAAAAGATTCTTGTGAGCTGTGAGAAATGCTGTCACCCCCTCAAAAACATACATGGAGTTGTGTTTTGTTTCATTCACACATTTACCAAAGCTCAAAATGCTCTATTCCACCTTGTGGCATCTTGAGGCTGTAGTCGTCAAGTTACCAGCTACTTTTTACCTTTTTTTCTCTAGAGATTGGAAATTCCAGGGCTGAAATAATTAAAATTATTCTATTGAAGGTGTAAGGCAGGGGTGTCAAACTCATTTTGGTCCAGGGGCCATATCCAACTTACTTTGATCCCAAAGGGGCCGGATCTGAAAACTCATGGCATATAAACCCCAAAAATAACAATAAGTTCAAATATTTGTGCAGAGAAACACAAATCTATTACAGAAATATTTTTTTAATTGATGAACTCTTTCTTTTACAAAATATTATAATATTATGAACAACCTGAAACTTTAAGAAAAATGTAATTTCAACACAAAGTTTAACATTAACTTGTGTGCAAATAGGAATAAGACCATTTTTCTTGGAAAATCCTGCACTCGGCTCCACTTTTCTCATTTTGGACATTTTGCTGATGAGGGTGTCATGGTCAACAGTCAAAACGATCGTCCTTTAAGAGCGTTTGGAAAGAGACAAGTCATTTGTGCTGCTCTGGTGGGAGGGGCCACGCACAGAGGCGCTGGAGATGCTGCTATGATAAACACCGCAGAAAATAAACAATATTTAATTTATATTTTAATAGAAAATATAATTAAAATATTTTAGTACAAAATAAGCCAAGGGCCACATTAAAGGTCTTGGAGGACCGGATCTGGCCCCCGGGCCTTATGTTTGACACCTGTGGTGTAAGGAGTTTAAAAATACAGTGGAGAACATCCTGTACATCAACTAGGAACAGATTATTTTCTGTCTGAGAGAAGAACACAGTCTAAATATGCATAGGGTGACCAGATATTCAAAATTAAAAACTGAACTAGGACATATCTGGGTTGGAATGGTCGGTAAAATTGTGAAAAGAGTGCTTACATTGTCCTTACTCGAGTCAAACGTGTCAATATTTAATCTGAGGGAATTCTGTCGTTGCTTTTTTTTTTTTTTTTTTTGCCTTATACTCACTTTCAAGCATGTTTTCTGCATTTTAGCTAAAAGACAAAAACAATATATTAGCCTCTTTACTGTTGGTGGGTTACAAATTGGTCAAAAATATGGATAACTGGGACATTTCTTCTATTAAACTGGGACAAATCAGTGGTTTTGGAGAAGTCTGCTGGGACAGGGGACAGAGGACTCAAATCTAGGACTGACCTGGGTAAATAGGGACGTCTGGTCACCGTAAATATGCAGGATTTGTGTGTTATATGTTTGAATGAAACAAAACACAAGTCCAGTTATGTTTGTGATGAGGAAACAACATTATAACATAGATCAGAAAATAATGTAATGGGCCCTTAAAAATATGAACCTTAATCCTGAACAGAGTAAAATACTTACATAGTACTGCTCCAACACATAATCTCTGTTCTCCTGTGATTCTTCAGAGACAGTTCCCACTATCTCAAAGGCTTTTTCTTTATTAATATTGGTGTCCACTGACTCCTCCTCCTCTTCATCCTCACTATGAGCTCCAACAACGCATTCAGACAGAAACTATAAAGTACAACAATGGAAAAAGTCACTGCGTAACGTCAGTTTACAGGTAATAATTCATTAGCGTTAGCATGTGCTTTTGTTAGCATATCGTTCTTTTTTATAGCTATCCATGCGATTTATATATTTTCCAAACATCAAAGTTAAAGATTCATGTTTGTTATTACCTTTGCTATATATTTAGATGAGTAGGAATCGATGTTGTTGATGAAAATCCGTTTTAGTGACGACTTTCTTTCTTCCATAATCTATTTACGTTAGTTTATTCCTGGTTTAGCGACTGTTAGCAATTTAGCGTCCCGTTGTTATGGTGACAGGGGAGGGGACTGTTGCTATGGTGATTGCAGCTGGTCTCGACGTGTTGCTCATATGTGAATTTGAGTCCAATTTTAATAAAGTTTAATGATTTTACATGAATCTGGGAATGAACAATGAGACTACTTTTACCAATAAAAAAAAAAAAAAAAAAAAGTTGAGTTTATATTTGATAAAATATTTGGTATACTATGAAGTGCTTTTTTAATGACATTATTCATTTATGAACATAGGCATAATCATACACATTTTCTTTAATAAAAATCAATACAGAATATTTAGAAATATTAAGAACAAAAATGATAGTGCATTAGGTAATTGCAAAAATAATTTATTACAACAAAATTCAAATTTATAAAATCAAATAAAAATCTAATCAACATCAAAATATGAATCAAGTCAAGTATCATTCTCAAACATAGTGTCATTCACTTAAAAAGGCACAGGCAGTTTGTGCTGTTACTCTGCTTCCACTGCAAAGTTATCAAACTGAGCCAGTTCATAGGAGCTTGTCCCAATGGCCGCCCAGCCATTTTTGGGAGTGAGTACCACAGCATTCTTCCACAGGGTGTATCCATTCAGCAATCCATATGCAAACTGACCCTTTAAAAAAACAATATATATAATAATTAAACATGAACTAATTGGCTGAGGGAAATTTACAGTAGATACATTTAGATGGTCAGTAAAAATCATAATAATAACAGTAATTACAATAAAGAGATAACGTAATAATTATATCTGATTCTTGGACTGTGTTTACATGCACAAAAGAATTCTGATCATTAAAAACTGATGTGCCAGTTTATCAATGGATTCTTAGGGTAACTCTTGTATTTGGAAGACAAAGTGATTTTAAAATAACTCTCTAAATCTATCTGCAAAATCCCATAGTCGTCCAGGTAGAATCCAAAGCAAAAGGAGAAAGTCAGTTTATTTTGTCAAATATGTTTCACAGCTCATCCAAGCTGCCTCTTCAGGTCTGATCAGATGCTTGTGGACACTGCTTTTTATCTGCTTGAAGGGAGGAGCTAACTACACTGAAACGACTCTGAAACTAACACACCTACTTGTTTACAGTTTCTGTTAGTTGGCTAGGCTTATTGATCTTGCACTGAGTGTGCGGTCATATTAGCAGAATCATTCAAGGCCATGAGTGCTTTCACACCTCTCGGCCTGCCCTGGCTATCCCTATTGTTTTCTTTGTTTGGTTTGATTTCGGTTTAAGAATGGAGTTGTAAATAGGAGAAAGATTATGTCTGAGGCCTCCATTTCTGTTCAAGGAAGGATTTTTCTTTCTTAACAAAAACAGCCTCTTCAACCCCCTCTCAAATCAATTTTTTTCTCTGGCCAAGATCTCCAAATCTTTATAACTTCATGTTTGTCTTGCCACATTAGTTTGTCTTTTTTTTTTTTTCACACAATTTTGCCCCTTGGCAAAAACTGCAAAGGTGCGAACAATCACAAATATATCAGATCACATGAGACTTAGCTGTAAACTTGACACAGTAACCTGAATACTCCAGAAATCAGATAATGGTCAGATTTTGGTGTGCATGTAAAGCCACTGATTGAGGAAAAAAAAAACACTTACTTGAACTTTGAGTGTCAATGTGTACCAGCCATACGCGCGTGTACCAGACAGCCCTTCAGCCAGCACAAACTCTCCAGCTACAGAGAGATAACAATGAAATCATAGTTATGTTTCATGTTTATTGCCAAATAAGTATGTCTCTTTTGTACAAGAAACAGCAGTGCCCTAAAATAGCTATGTGAATTTGTTATACTTAGTCAGTTTCTTTTGCTGTTCACATATGTTTCTTACAATCAATACATTCCCACATATTAATTAGTAGCACACTACACCCAAAACTTGTTTTACATAATTTGTCAATTTCCAAAATGACATTTTTCCACAATAATATAGTATTAGAAATTAGGTGTACACTGCTGCTAAAAATACAGTCAAACTACAAACTACAGGCTACAAATATTAGTTATAGTACAGAAAATTTGAATGCATCTGGCTAGTAGTTCAGAGTCATAAATAGTAGATGTTCCTCTGTGAAATGCATTAAAACTTGTATAATGTGCTTATACCACGGCTACAAACTGAACTATCTAACTTGTAAATGTGGAAAGTCTGTCCACGGTCTGTAAATATCTCAAATACTAGTTCACAGGTGTCAAAAATAAAGCCCGGGGGCCAGATCCAGCCCTCCAAGACCTTTAATGTGGCCCTCGGCTGATTTTCTACTAAAATATTTTAGTTATATTTTCTATTAAAATATTGGTAATTTTCTGCGCCGCTTAGCATAGCAGCGTCTCCAGCACCTCTGTGCGTGGCCCCTCCCACCAGAGCAGCACAAATGAAGACTTGATTTGCGTTTCTCTGCACAAATATTTGAACTTATTGCTATTTTCCGGGTATATATGACACGAGTTTTCTGATCTGGCCCCTTTGGGATCAAAGTAGGTTGGATACGGCCCCCGGACCAAAATGAGTTTGCAATGCATTTTTTGGGAATTCAAACTGCTCATGTTCGACTGACAGGGAATGGACAATTTTCACAAAGGTCGGATTCTGAAAGGATTCATTTCTATTTTCACAGCATAAACAAAAATTTTAAATACTCAAAGTGCCTAAAAGTTAGCTTTGTAAGACTTAGCCTAGCCCCACTTTGAGCCCGCACGAGCTCCGCTGTAGCAACTATCGCTCTGATTGGTCCAAACGCACCACACCGTGCACATTACAGACATTACATGGGTGGGAGGTGCTAGTGTGTATTGAGGAAGTAATGCAGAAGAGAAAACAATTTTTGAGCCCATGCACCAATGAGCACAGGCCACTGAAAACAATATGATGCCAGGTTGGGTTCACCTTCCAGATTTTATTATAGTTGTATGGTATTAACGCAGGGCAGTTAGCCATCGGAATACTCACTGACTGTGGTATAAGGTATTATAATGTCCAGTCCTAATAGCAGTGTTAGTAATAACTTGCATACCCAGGTCACTGGTCACTTTGTATGTCCCATCTGCATAGACCCAGTAGAAGACCCCTCTGGCGCTGCGGATGGACTGGCCTCCTTTGTCCACTCTGGCTGCTATGAAGACCCCACCAGTCTTCACCTTCTCCATAAAGACATCACATGAGATGGTCAGATTCTGCCTGGAAAAAAGACACAAACAAGCCTGTACTTTTTGCCAGTACCACAGTACCATAGATGTCCCCTTTTAAATGCCTTATGTTACTGAAGGATGGGTCAAATGCAGAGGATAACAGGACAATAAAGTGTACTTACCTATTTCCAAATGTATATTGGAATATTTGTGTGTCAATTGAAGTTTATGTTGTATGAGCAGCAATGGGTATTTTAGAAAGCTGTTGAAACAATATAGTAGTTTCGTAGACTACTTACCAGTGATAGTCTCCTATGACACTGATGGTCTGATCTGCATCTGTGGCCCATGTGATCGGCGTCTGAGTAAGAATTTGTCTCAGAGTATAAACATGGGGTCCACGGTCTGTCAGGTTTTTGTAGTATTCAAAAACTCCAGTCTGGTCAGCAAAGTTCGGAGCTTCAGAGAAAGGAGGATCTTCTGTTTGGACAAGCAAAGATTATTTTATTATTTTTATAGTATTTTATTTCCCCTTTGGATCAATAAAGTTGATCTTATCTTATGTACAGTGCCATTTTTAACAAATGGCGCTGTACCAAATGGCCATATTACATAGTTTTAGACACTTGCCCAATACTAGGCCTGTCACAGTCATTACTATATAAACTTATCGTTCAATATGATACCTGGAACAATGTAATTTGGTCTCAGTATGTATTCTGTGTACATTTTTGTTGCAGTACTGTATGGAGGGGAGATTTTTGGTAATACAAAAATAAGATAAAAGCTGTAGAGAGTTAACTAAGTAACCTCTATGGCTATTTATCGGTTAATTCTGCCATTTATTTGTTACCTTTTAATGATCAACTATATTATAAAAGTGTTAACTGGGATTATCCTGCTTTACTGTTATTGTGTTTTCAAAATTTGTTATCGTCGCTGAACTACTCAATATAATACTAAATGCAAATAAGGCTTCTAGTAAGTATATTTTTTTTCATTATTTCACAACAAAATAACAATTTTAAGATAATATGGATAATAATACCATCTGTGCATAATCGTTGCCCAAGACGTCAAATATTACTAAAATGCACTGTAAATGTATATGGTGCCACTTACTGCTGTCAAAATCGTCTTTGTAAACTTTGGGAAATGGTGCAGATGGGGGTGGATCAGGGTGGCTGCCTTTCACCCCTGTTGTTATAGTCGTTAGAGTGTAAACTTCGTCTTCTTGTAACTCCAGAGAACGTTCCATCCAAAGTCTACAAAAATAAGAGGTCATTTTGGTTTCTGATGTAATTCTTCAATAATTCTCAAATCTCTTACAACTAATACCTGCCCAGATATTATCCAGTTCTTATAAACAAACCAGACAAGATAAACTAGTTCTACACCAGAGTGAAAACCGGGATTTAGCCAGATCTGAACTGGCTGTATTGGGACTAAAACCTAAATCTCAACTAGGACTAAACCAGGTCTTCAGTTACTAAAATGGACAAATACAAATTACCACTCATACTTCACTTTGTTTAATACCGTACCTTTAGGGGACTTAGCTTCTCAAAAAAGATTGGCTTCTTGGATTTAAAGTTAAACTGCGATCGCCAAACTTGTAGCTCCTTGATGGATGCCTGAAAATAGTGTGTTAACATTAAGGTCATACTATCTTTAAGCATGTACTGTGCAACTTTTCTGGTGCTTGTCTCCATGGTGATGTTATTGTTTTGCCTAGAATGTTCCAAAGTATTGCATTAAACCTGATTATCTTACATTCATTGAATAAAAGAATTCATCTCTGGCCTGTAACTATGCTTAGTGGCGTCATCTTTTCGTCTCCATAGAGATAGATAAGTCTAATGCAAAACAGTGGAACATTCAATAATGTTTTATGGTGTAGGTAGTGGATCTTCCATCAGAAAAGTTTTTTGGTGCACCTTTAAATGAGGTTATTGGTTTGTATTTGGTGAAACTTACAAATGACCCCTTCAGATGAAAAGTTGCATTCTGGGCCGTGACGTTAAAAGGAAGAAGTGGAGGTCTTATACAAATGGAGTGATCATGAGTCTGTGAAAAAAAAAAAAAAAAAAACATTTAAAAAGTATGTTTTAGATGCAAACTACACTGAAACATGTTTTAAACCTTCAAATGTTGATTTGCACAATATGACTTTAAGTATACGTACCATTGTCTCTATAACAACTGTGAGATTCCCTTTTCTATCAGTGAGAGCTACATAACTTCCACCTTGTACTAAATGCCCCACAGTCTGTAGGTAGGTCCATCCAGGCTGAGTGAACTGTGTGGTGTGGGCTAAAGAAGACAGCACAAAAAATAAGATAATTCAATTCAAACAGGAAATATTAAGCTAAATAATCCAGACCTGTGATCCATATTGGAGCCTCCACTACGTAGTTGTTGCTCCAGGGCTCCTCGGCCGTCATCAGCCCATCTCGACCAAAAGGGAGATCGTCATAGTAACTCGCGATTAGATTCCATGAAATGGTTCTGCAAAAGGGTTATTGCTGGGTTTCAGATGACACCATTACAATGTATAGGCCAATATTATTTAATACAGATGGGGGCAGGTAAAATGAATATTGTTCAACTACATAATTTTGTTGCAATATAGCATGGTCTTGGGTCTAGTCAGTAATAGAAATGATCAGGTTTTATATTTGGGAATTTACCTTTTCAATATTTCATGTAAAAACACAATGTATTCAATAGGAAAAACTGTCTCTTGCTCACATTACTCATAGCGCATAATGTTAAGCATTTTTGCAGAGTGGTTTAAAGCAGTATTTCCCAACCAGAGCTTTGGTCTGGTCAAAGGGCTAGCTCATCAAAAATGTTAATTTCACACATGTTTCGACATTGGATATAGGAAATGAAAGCACTATTGTTATTTGTCTGAACCTAATTCTTTTTAGGAATCATTTTTATCAAGTGATATGTAAAAGGGAGAGCAGATACTTAACCCAAGGCTATAAACTGGCATTCTTACATCTATCTAAATGTGTGTTAACTGTTATTCTAGTATAGCCTATAAGCATTTAAGGGAAAATACTCAGGAGAAGAGTGCAAGCAATAGTAGATAGTAATAGCAGGAATAATACTAGTAGTTATCTATAAAAACAAAACTACAACTTTGTAATTCTTTGTGCACAGAATGTTTCTAGTATTGTAACATATTTATTTATTTTTTAATCACTACAATCGTCTTTTATTGACTGGTCAAATCAGACCAATGTAAACAGTATGGGCCTGGGTATGGGTGCTACAATTAAAACAGTCAGTCATAAACAAACACATACAACCTGTGTGTGTGTGATAAAAGTACTCAATCATCTATCGACCATTCAAAATGACTCACGCCGTCATAAGGCCATTCACATAGTTCTGGTTGAGGATGCGAGCCCAACAGCCTCCTCCCACCTCGTCATTAAAAGTGCTGTAATCCTCTGAAGACCACAGCTGCTTCTGTGTCTTCAGAGCGTCCAGGACTGTGTTGGTGCCCGGATAGTGCGCCCTGGGGAGGAATAAGAAAGACAATGTAAGCTGCAAGATTCACATTCATTAAAGTTGCATTGTGTAACTTTTCTGGTGGAGGGTCCGTCAAATGCTTTTCTCCATGGAGATGTTATTCCTTTGTCTAGAATGTTCCTCAGTATGGTATCAAACCTTTCTATCTTCATGGAGACCAAACCAGACCAAGTGTTGGGTCAGATCCGTGGAGAGGCGACACCAGCTAACAGTCAGTATGCCTGTTTTTCTAGGTATTTTTGAGCTATAAAACCACCTGTAATGGAATAAATGTAAGGTAGAAATGTTTAATATCATACTGTGGAACATTCCAGGCAAAGCAATGACATATTATCCACAGAAGCAAACAGGTGCATCTTTAAATCTTAAATTAACAAAATAAAAGCATATTTCGTAGACGTCTCCCCAGCTTTTACTATCTCATGCATTCAAACCAAGACCATGCATCTAGCAAAAAGACATTATTAACATGCTTTAGCCAGATTAGGTTAGCAGAACTAGCTAAGATTAAGTGCATCCTACCCTATCACATCTACGGCTGCGCTGAGTTCGGGGTCCTTTAGCACATTCAGGGCTATGGGCTCCCACTGGTTGTCACTAGCAACGATCCGCACATGCTCCAGACCCTGTTTATCCAGAGTGTAACGAAGCAGCTACAGCCACAGAGGTGAAGACAATATAAGATCATAGCATTGGTTAAATTTAAATTAACAATATATACAATAATGCATGTGAGTAAAGAAAATGCACATTTCATTCAATGTGAAAATTGTGAAGAGATTAGTGAAAAGCAAAATTTTAAAAGTACAATATTCAGGTAAGGTTTGTTTTTAGAGTAGTTAAAGTACATTTTGTGTCTAGATATTTTAAATGCAATATCTGTGAGCTGCATTGTGTAACTTTTCTGGTAGAGAGTCAGAGACAAATGCTTTTCTCCATGGAAATGTTATTGCTCCATCTGGAATGTTTCCCAATATGGTATAAGTCTCTCCATGGCCGAGCACCAAAGTACATCTGTGACATCTTAGTGTCATATGAACCATCTCGCACTCTGAGGACCTCAGGGACTGGCCTCCTGCTGGTGCCCAGAGTCAGGACTAAACAAGGGGAGTCACCGTTTCAGGTTCATGCAGCTAAAACCTGGAACAGTCTTCCTGAACATGTGAGACAGACTCTTCTGTGATGCTGTTTAAATCCAGGCTCAAAACATTTCTGTTTAACTGTGCAAATAACTGAAAGGTTTTCATTCCGCACTCTTCTCTCCAATTTATGTCTCTCTTTTTTTTTATTTTAATCTTCATGATTATTTATGTTTTGATTTGTTTTTATTATGATTTTAATGTATTTCTTATTCTGTAAAGCACTTTGAATTACTTTGTGTACGAATTGTGCTTTACAAATAAACTTGCCTTGCCTTGCCTAATAAATCTTTGTATCTCCATGGAAACCAAACTAGACCAAATGATGAGACATTTGTGGAGAGGATATCTCGCTCACAGTCAGAATGCCTGTTTTTCTGGGTATTTTTGAGCGATAAAACCAGCTGTAATTGGATAATAGTAAGGTAGAGATGTTTAATGTCATACTGCGGAACATTCCAGGCAGAGCAATGACATACGCACTGAAACAAGCTGGTGACAGACCCCCAACAAAAAAGGTACATAGTGCACATTTAACGTTGATAAAACACATTTAAACACCATATAATATATATATTTTTTTTTAAGTTTGAAGATTTCACTTTTGTTTATTGCATCATCTTATATATATTGAAATGCTTTATAAATAATATAGTCCACCCAAACAGTCACATACATTAACCTTTGACCCATGTTGGCACAGTGTGGAGTTAAAGCGCCTATGACAGGTTAGATTACTCACTTCACTAAAACACAGTTAAGATCATTATATTTAAAATTTCACACAAAAAAAAATTATAATATCTTCCCCAGTTTGGTCATTTTTTAGGTTTCAAATTTTATTTTCTGGTTGAAAATCATGACATCACACTAGGGAATAGTGTTCCTATCAAACACGTAGTAGCAAACCTGTAGTACACTAGGCCAAAAACTCCTTTAATGTACACAGAGATTATTGTTTGATAAATAAAAAGATAAGAGAATACTTTGAATTTGTTGAAATCATGGTTAAAATATCAGTTTGTTTTACGTAAATTGTGCCAAACGTTTTGATAGAATTCTCCCAGTGTGATGTTATCAGTGTGGGAATCTCTAAAATAGAACTCTGCTTCCTGTAATTTTCAACATATTTTTCAACTTTTCTTCACAAACTGCCTCTTGATTGGTTTAAAACTATCATTTATGTTTACATCAGGTTTTGTGCCACCAAATGAAGCAGAAATTTGAGAATCTTAAAAATCATACACACTTCAAATGAAACTAACAATTTGAAAGAAGCTGAAAGAAGCACAGAGACACACCCAGAGTGCAGAGATTTCATCTGCCTGTCACATGCTTAGTGTTAATGTTACACAATAAAGAAAGGAGTTAACACCAATACTCTACGGTAGGGCTGTGTATCATTAAGACGTTGCCGATACGATGCCTACCTCAGTACATAGGCCAAGATAAGATACATATGTCAATGCATTTCAAATTGATTCTACATGGTTCAATAAAAAATAAAGGCTAAATCATGGCTGTGATACTAAAAGTCTTTGTTAAACCACTTCTTGTACAAAGTGAATATGAAACACACCCATTTTAATCAGCAAAACAGTGAATATGTCAAATGTGTTGCATAAACTTGTTTCCTTCCTCTAAACAAGCAAGAAAACTGTAGCACTGTAACAAAATACCTTAGTAAAATATCCCAAAAAATACACTTGGTGATGTATCGATATAGCAGTCCACAATATTGATACTGTATCATCACATTACATGATACAATATATCGATATTTTGATATTTTTGCACACTCTTACTCTACGGACAATTCATTTACCATAACTATTTAAACAGAAAATACACAAAAACTGAACCTAATAATTTGTTTTGTTGACTTGTTGTTTTGTTGACTGGGTGGGCATCTCTGGTACTGTACTAAACTGGTTCAAGTCCTATCTAGAAGACAGGAAGTATTTTGTTGAAATTGGAAACTGTGTCTCAGATCACATGGCCCTGACCTGTGGGGTGCCTCAGGGGTCAATCCTGGGCCCCCTGTTGTTCAATCTCTACATGCTGCCATTAGGCCAGTTAATAAGCAGCAATAACGTGTCGTACCACAATTATGCAGATGACACTCAGATCTACGTCTCTCTGGCAGCAGGAGACTATGGACCAGTGGACTCACTTGGTCATTGCATCCAACAGATCAGTGTGTGGATGCAAAACAACTTTCTCCAGCTAAACTCTGACAAGACTGAAGTCATAGTCTTTGGTCCACAGAAACAAAGGGACAGTGTCAGCAGTCACCTCCAGTCTCTCTCTCTAAAACCTTCAAATCAGGCAAGAAATCTAGGGGTAATAATGGACTCAGACTTGAACTTTAACAGCCACATCAAATCAATAACATCTGCAGCCTTTTACCATCTAAAAAACATAGCAAAAATCAAAGGTTTACTGTCTAAATCAGACTTGGAGAAACTTATCCATGCATTTGTCTCCAGTAGGTTAGACTACTGTAATGGTCTGCTCACTGGTCTCTCAAAACGAGCTGTGAGACGCTGCAGAACATCCAGAACGCTGCAGCTCGGGTCCTTACTCGAACTAGGAAGTACGAGCACATAAGTCCTGTGCTCAGGTCTCTGCACTGGCTTCCTGTGCCTCAGAGAATAGACTTTAAAGCAGCTCTACTTGTGTACAAGTCTCTCCATGGCCGAGCACCAAAGTACATCTGTGACATGTTAGTGTCATATGAACCATCTCGCACTCTGAGGACCTCAGGGACCGGCCTCCTGCTGGTGCCCAGAGTCACGACTAAACAAGGGGAGTCAGCGTTTCAGGTTCATGCAGCTAAAACCTGGAACAGTCTGAACATGTGAGACAGACTCTTCTGTGACGCTGTTTAAATCCAGGCTCAAAACATTTCTGTTTAACTGTGCATATAACTGAAAGGTTTTTCATTCCGCACTCTTCTCTCCAATTCATGTTTCTCTTTTTTAATTTTAATCTTCATGATTATTTATGTTTTGATTTGTTTTTATTATGTATTTCTTATTCTGTAAAGCACTTTGAATTACTTTGTGTACGAATTGTGCTATACAAATAAACTTGCCTTGCCTTGTTAGAGAATGAGTTTATAAATCAAAAATGTTATGACTGTAAATAAGTCTAATAATATATACTTAATAGTCTGTGGTTACAGATACATGAAGATACTACACTGTATTTGATAAATCTGATAAAAATGCATTATTGTTTATTAATGCGAATTTGTGACAATTGTCAAAGCGTAGATCTCAATGTGACTTCCCCGGTTATATAATTGTTAATTAATAGAAAAATGTATGTAGCACAAACCTTAGTTCACTTGAGCGAAATATGACATTAGGACAGTTATTAATTTGTGTGACTTTGGCTTAGTAATTACAGAGATAGAGAGAGAGGAAACCCCACTCACAGTCAGAATGCCTATTTTTTTTCTAGGTATTTTTGAGCTATAAAACTGCCTGTAATTGAAAAAAATGTAAGGTACTGTATTTTACGGGCTATTAGGCGCTCTGGATTATAAGATACACTGTCATTAAATGATCTATTTTTTAACTTGTTTCACAAATAAACCGCACCGGACTTTAAACAAAACACAACAGTTCGATGGGTTAGTCGGACTTTGTTTGGTGCGTTCACGGTGACTCTTGGCTTTGTTCAGTTGTGGCGTGTAGGGAGGGTGCTGTCTGGGACCGCTGGATTGTTGGCGTGTTCACAGTGACTCAGTTGTTCAGTTGTGGCTCAGAAAGGCACATTGGACTCGTTTTCTTGGTTCGTTCCTCCGTTCCGTTTCTCATCAGCGTGGAGTGATGAGTGTGGCTGTGGGTGTTTTTCGCCGCGCGGTCGCTGTCTGCTCCATGCGTGTTTGCGTGCGCTGCGGGCAATGCGGCTTTGTAGTTTACTGAAGTCGTGCTGGGACACCTGAGTGTATTCGTGTATGGGGCGCTCTGGATTGCGGGGCATGTGGTCATTTGTTGATGGGGTTAGAATCTTAAGAGCGCGTCTAATAGCCCGGAAAATACGGTAGATGTGTTTAATGTCATATTGTGCAGCATTCAAAGCAAAGCAATGACATAACAAGCAGGTGACGGACCCCAACCAGTATAATGACCAGACCTCCATCTCTTGTTTAAAGTTCACGTGTTCTTCACCTTTTACTATACTAAACACTCCCTGTCCATACTTACCCAATGACTTTAACAGCGTCATTCAGCAGGGGGTCTATTAAAACACTACTGGCGATGCTCCAGTCTCCATCTGCTGCTATGATGCCCACCTCTGAGAAACCAGCTTTGTCCAGACTGTCCCGGAGCACCTTGGCAACAAAAACACTCTCTTTTATAGTTTTAAAGGTATACTGTGTAACTTTCCGGTTGGGGGTCCATCACCTGCTTCTTTTTCTCGATATGTCATTGCTCTGCTTAGAATGTTCCACAATATGACATTAAATGGGTCTACGTTTACATTTATTCAATGACAGGTGGTTTTATAGCTCAAAATACTTAGAAAAACTTTCATTCTGACTGACTTTGAAACATTCCAGACAAAGCAAAAAACATCTCCATGAAGAAAAGCATGTGACGGACCATCCAGAAAAGTTACACAGTGCACCTTTAAAGATCTAGTGACATATAATTCAATGCTTTCAGCTTTCTGTTACTTCTTTCCGTTGCACACATAGAATGGTTTGTTTTATTGTTTATCTCTACAGCAACAGGCCTAAATACCCGTGGTTATGTTATGCCAGAAAGGTCAAAGATTAATGTTGTAAAAGCTGTTTTTCTTATTGTTGTTAATAGCGGTGTGTAATTTGTGTATGAAAAAAGGGTAAAAGTAGTGGTTTCGTTTACCTTTATGTATTTGCTGTCAAAACTCCGCTCATTCCAAATCTAAGAAAAAACAAAAAACAGATGATGTATTTTTACTGTACAGATTATGACAGTAGATACAGTGAATTATAAATTTCACTAAGCAAGAATGAGAAAGAAACCAAACAAACTGACTATACACAAAAGGTATGGGGAAAAGTAGTTAGGTAAGATATTTCACCTAAGAATTACAAAAACAAAAAAAACTATAAAAGCTAAACCAGGATCAGAAGTTGTAATAGTAAAGGTTTTCATTCTGCACTCTTCTCTCTCATTTAGTGTCTCTCTCTCTCTCTCGTATTGTGATTTTAATGTATTTCTTATTCTGTAAAGCACTTTGAATTACTTTGTTTGTGCTATGCAAATAAACTTGCCTTGCCTTGCCCATACTGGGAAGTCCTATTCGTAGCTAAATGTAAATAATTTCACCTACATTATGTATACAGACGAGGACATGGTTCAATAGGATTGCGATCTGAAGACCACTTCAGAACAGTCCAATGTTTTGTTCTTAGCCATTCTTGTGTGTTTTTAGCTGTGTGTTTTGAGTCATTATCCTGTAGGAAGTCCCATGACCTATGACTGAGACCAAGCTTTCTGACATTATGCAACACCTTTCATTCCACCTTTCTGTACCCTGCACAGATTCAAGACACCCTGTACCAGATGCAGCAAAACAGCCCCAGAACAAAACCAAGCCTCCTCCATGCTTCTCAGCAGAGACAGTGTTCTTTTCTTGGTCTGCTTCATTTTTGTGTCTGTGAACATAGAGCTGATGTGTCTTGCCAAAGAGGTCTAGTTTTGTCTCATCTGGCCAAAGGACATTCTCCCAGAAACTTTGTGGCTTGTCAATATGCACTGCAGCAATTTCAAGTCTCACTTTTTTATAATTTGCTCTCAGCAGTGGTGTCCTCACATAAAGTCCACTTTGGCATAAACAGTGACGGATGGTGTGATCTGACACTGATGTACCTTGCCCTTCTAACTGCCCTTTTAATTTGTTTGGAGGTTGTTCTGGGCTCTTAGGTTACCACTCGTAACATCCATCTCTTTAATTTGTCATAAATGTTCCTTTTGCAGCTATGTCCAGGAAGGTTGGCTACAATCCAGTGGACCATAAACTTCTGAAGAACATGTGTAACTGTAATCACAGGAACATCAAGCTGCTTGGACACAGTCTTACTGTCTTTATCTTTATTCTGTTTGTCTAACATTTTCTTTCTAGTCTCCTGACACAGTTCTCTTCTTCTCTTCTCTGGCCCATGTTCAGTGCTGTATCCATCATGTCTCCAAACAGCACAATGACACATGTCCCCCTTTAAACAGGCAGATTGACTGAGGACAAGTTTGAAGACACCTGTGATGCAGATTAGAGGACACGCCTAAGTTTAACATGTCCCTATAGTACCATCATTTTTGTCCAGGCCAGTTTCATTAGTTTTTTTTTTAATAATTGTGTTGAACAACAATTTAAAAACAGTTTCTGATTTTCATTGGTTATTTTTCAGTATATTTTTTATTTATTATTGCTTTTCTCAATTTCAAGTTATTTCTGTGAAAATTGTTGATTTTTCTTTCCTTACCAGTGGGGTACCAACAATTTTGTCCACAACTGTATATACCCCATTTTCCCCATACTTCATTTGTAAATTGACACATGAATAATTTTATCCTTTTGTTTGTAGGGAATGTGCCTGTCAGTCTACATCTCCAAAGCTCAAATGCTCTGTTCTATCTTATGATGTCATGAAGTGGTAGTTTACAAGTTAACAGCTACATTTTACCTTTTGTTTAGTAGAGATCAGATATTCCAGAGCTGAAATTATCCAAATGGTTGTAGTGAAGGTGTATGTAGTTTAAAGACACAGTAGAGCACTTCCTGAATTATAAAGCAGAACACTGTTTTTGTTGTTGTTGTTTTTTTCCCGTTTGAAAGAGGAACCTAAATATGCAAGATTTGTGCATTATAAATACTAGAGCTAGATTAAGTGGAGCAACTACAAAAGGGAGAGTATGTATGGAGTAGATAGGTATGTTTTTGAAAATGCATTATATTAGATCTGATCGGATACACACCCCAATATACTGAATTTCCAGGTCATGGTACTGCTTTGCTCCGAGGATCCACTTAACCACATACGAAGCTGTGATGTCTGGGAAATCGTATGGCCAGTTTTTACCATGGCCGACCCACCCTGGAAAGGCCCAAGGCAAACCTGAGATAAAAAAAAAAAAAAAAAAGAAGAATTACAGATGTTACATTGTTACAACTTTCAACTTCTTTCTAGTACTCCAAGCTACGTACCTATCATATAGGCCTGTTACACTAATCACTCTATCGACTTATTGTTCAATATTTATCGTGTGTACCTTTTCTTTCAAAAAAGTGGGAAGAATTGTTGTTATTTTTGTTGTAATACGATAATATTTGACGTGTAGACGGTAGAATAAATAACTTCTATGGCTAATTATTACTTCACTCTGTTTATTTGTTGCAGGTCAGGCCTTTTAATGATACTGTCTATTTTAAAAGGGTTTACTGGATTATCATTATGCTTTGTGTCAGTGGCATAATAGTTTCAGTATTATCCTTCATTGTTATTGTGACAGGTCTAGTACCCACGCATTAGGCACGGGATGATATAGAAATTTGGTGCCAAGATAATTGTTATTAATGATTATTTATAAAAGTTGCTGACAGTTTAAAAATGTTATGGAATAATGATAATTTGAATAGTATTATGAATGGGTTCCATATTCAAACAACTGTTAAAACGTTGTACTTTGTTAGTGAATGTGAGAACAACAATGATCAAGAAGAAAATATCATGGAGAAGTATCTTTTTTCAGCAAATAATGGTGATTCGTGGAGATTATCTTTGTTTGGCGAGTCTCACGATAATAAAAAATGTCCCACGAATTATTATTGTGTACACTTTTTGTCACGATAAACAATATTATTGTTTACTGTCCCATCCATACCACACACCCATATTCACAAAATCAAATGTACAAAACAGTAAAAAAAAAAAAAAAAAAACTGCAGGTAAGTCAGGTGTGGTGTCTGCATTAGAAGAACTGTTAGAAGAAACTTGAGCTTTGGTAGAGTAGACAAGCAACTACATGTCTAATGTAGCAGCGGTGCGATTCCAGCTCCCACAGACGGACGCTGTTGTTATGTCCTTGAGCAAGACACTTAACTCACCTCGTCCCTAGTGTCTGTGTACACTGGTGTATGAGTGTGTGTGAATGGCTGAGTGGTTCCTGAGTGCCTTGAAGGTGGAAAAGCATTACATAAAAATGTGTGTAAAAAAGTAAATTAAAAGGGATGCATTTCCTACCAATGAGTGTGATATTGGGGTTTCTCTTCTTTGCTTCTTTCATGAGCCACCACTCGTATCCTCTGTAGTAGTTCTCATCGTCCTCATAGTGCATGTGTGAAGGCTCTGTTCCGTCTAGTGAGAAAAATATTTAACTGATATATTACTACTTGCTATGATATGACAAGAAATCAAGGCCCGTCAGTGTTTTGGTGCATTAGGCTAGCCTCTTGGTATTTCTTCTGGCATTAATGTTGTACTATGCAAGTTTCTGCTGGGGGTACCTCCCACTTGCTTGACCGTTTGGAGTGGAGATGTCTTTGCTTGTGGACAGTGTGGCATTAAACGTATCTATATTTTTGCATATGTGTTTTTTGCATGTGTGTTAAACGTATCTATATTTTTGCATGTGTGTTAAACATATATATATTTTTGCATGTGTGTTAAACGTATCTATATTTTCGCATTTGTTTTTGGCATCTGTTTCACCACACGTTTTTATTGCTTAAGAATAGTTTGAATTCTGGTGACCCTTCATCAGAAAAGTTACACAGTGCACCTTTAAGCTATAAAGTCATGTTAAACTGATTTGACAGATTTAACAACACAAATATAGTTTACATAAAATACAGAATAAGTCTAGGTTAGGAAGACTGCATTCATTTGGCTATTGGGACTGAACTTAGTATCCAATTAAAAATCATGGCACAGTTTGGTTAGATGGCTAGTTTAAAGTTATTCGTATAAATATAGACTTATGTGACTTACCAGTAGTTTGGGCATCTCCTCCAATCTCGACCTTTAGTATGTGCAATGACGCGCCAAAGTTGGGCTAAAAAAACAATAAAGATTGAGATATTTTGATATAAAATGTAAACTAGCAGTATTACAGTAGACATTTACCTTAAACAAATAGTCTAAAATCTGGCTGCGATACGGCTCATCATAATTTACAAGTAAACGAGTGGTTGCCTGAAGTAAAAAGGACAAAATGTTATAAAATTGTTTACATTAGAGACGTTCATTCACTTTGCTTGTACCAGGAAGTAAGTCAGTTTTCGGTCTTACCCCTCCACCGCTAATTCCTCCGATCCCGTCAAACACTCGTCCCAGCCCGTTTTTATCATCAAGGACGTAAATTACAGCAGAATTAAACTCAAAAGTTATTAACATTAGCAGCAAAACTAAACGGGCTCTCTGCTTCATGGTGTTTAGGATCTGAAGCGCGTAGGGAGGAGAGCAACGCGCCGTCAACAATGTCACATGACATTACAAAAATCACGTGGCGTTTGGAAAAGTTATTTATATTTTGTTTATTTATTTATTTTTATTGTCAATAATTATGAACTTGCAGGAGTGGGATTATTTATAACAAACATTAGTAAACTTTTTTCTAAGTATTAAAATGAAATCAAGGAGTAGTTTATATTTCATTGGCCACAAGAGGTCACTGTTGCTCTGTAAATGTCACATTCACTTCGACAAATTTCATTGATCCGCAAGGAAAATTACTTGGATACAGAAACTTAACACAATATATTATAATAAAGAAATATAATAAAATATAATAAAGAAATAGTAAAAAAAAAGAAATAAAAAAAAAGAAATAAAAAAAAAAGAAATAGTACAATAAAAAAATAGAAATGGTAATAATAAATTATAAATAACTATCAAATAAGTGTCAAATAAGGCATAACTACATAAATGTTCACCTGAGTGGGCTCCTTTTACCTGAGGAGGTCTCTTCTTGCATCTTTGGTTGTAAGAAGCAAAGACAACAAAGACTTTAAGACAACAACTCATCCTTATGTAATAGATAACACTATGTCCTGTCAATCATCATATCATCTTTGCTTTGTTTTCCTTATGACCTCTTGTATATAACATAGATACAGAGATATTTTTATTCCTTATTTTCTTGTACATATACAATGCTTGGTGCTGCTGATTTGTTTTTCATTCATTAGAAATGCTGGATTACTTTTACAATTTTGTGTATCTGAAATAACTTTATGCAATGTATTTACTTCCTAAAGACAGAAGAACATTTTATTATTATATTACTGCCCAAATATATTCATATTGACCTCTATAAAGTGTTTCTTTAGTGACTACATATTTTAAAATAATGGGATTGCTTGATTTGTTTTAATTTCCACTAAGCATTAGCATAAATATGACACATATTTTCTCTTTATTACAAATTATATAAGGTAATATTATACTTTTGGCATCGAATAATGATCTTCCAAACACATGTGCATCTCTCAAAATTGTTTTATGTATTTACTTAGGCTATTTAAATTAAGACTTTATGCTACCAGAGATTCATAGGTAAAGTAGTTCACTGCAAAAAACAGAACACAATAAAATCTAAATGTTTGATAACTTTTCATGAGGTAAAATTTTATTGCTTTTCTTGTAAAAACACTATAGCCTATTTCAAGTTCAAAATTCTCAATTGACAGGTAAACATGTACACAAGTATATTCTAAACTAGTCAAACTGATCAAGTTTTGTATAAAAAGTATAATCTAAAATTATTAAATTGCATTAAAATGTAACTAACTAGTAGTCTACTAGAAGGAATATTTGTTCATACATACTTTTACTTTGACTACATTTACTTAGAGGTACTCTGTGTAACTTGTGTACTGGAGGGTCCATCACCTGCTTGTTTCCATGGAAATATGCTTTGAATTATCCACAGTATGGCTAATTTATGTACTTTTGATAACTTATGATTCTCCATGGAGACTGGCAAGCCAAATTACAGGTTAAGATTTTTGGAGACGCGACTCCACTCGGTCGAATGTGTGTTTTTAAAGACATTTTTGAGCAATAAATAACAATTGGAATTGAATAAATGCAAGATAGATTAGTTTAATACCATACTATGGACAATTTAAACCAAAGGATTAACATCTCAATGGAAACAAACAGGTTGCGGACCTCCTCCAGAAAAGTCACATAGTGTACCTGTAAGTACAATTTTGGCAGCAGTACTTATACTTGTAATTAAGTACATTATTAGCCAAATAACTGTACTTTTACTGAAAGGTGCATTGTCCTCCACGTGCTTTTCTCCGTGGAGATGTTATTGCTTGATCTGGAATGTTTCATAGTATGGCATTAAACCTTTCAGTCTTCATGGAGACCAAACCAGACCACGTTACAGGTCAGATCTGTGGAGAGACGACCCCGCTCAGTCAGAATCCCTGTTTTTGAGCTATAAAACCACCTTTAATCACCTATAACCAGACCCTCAATCAAAAAAATTCATGGTGTAGAACAAATTTTCAGTACTTTTTCCACCACTCAGAATAGGGTTGACCAAAAACTCAGATTGTAATCACTGCACTACACATTTGTTCTTCTTGGCCCTCCCCAGTGTTTCTTGTGATGCAAATGCCATCTCTCTCTCCACCTCTGCCCTCAGTCCATCTCTCCTGTTCTTCTCTTCCTCTTTTTGCTCTTTCAACAAATATTTCTTCTCCCTTTTGGACATTTTTGTAGCACTTTTGAACATCTTAACTGTATAATACCTCCCCTGATTCTCCATCACCATTTTGTCAACTTTTTCCAATAGCTCGTGTGTTTGTTGCGGATTGCTTTCCTGGTTATTAAAAACATGATACCTCCCATAACACGTTTCTATCAGCTGTTCCAGATCTTCACTCTTTGAAATAAACTGTTCGATTGTCATTTTTTTCAATTTGTCTCCATGCGTGAACAAAACTAGTGAAAATCTTGCAGCATCCATCCCAAATGTATTCTGTATTAACCTTACAGTCTCTTTTTCCTCTTCGGTGAACCTACCCAGTCTCAAAACCAGTAAAAATGCATGTGGGCCAGGTTTGGACATTGAGACACAAGTTGTAATCTTTTTCAAAACTTCTTCCTCGGTGAAATTGGTGTCAAATAATCCAGGAGTATCGATTACAGCCACGTTGCGTCCGTGGATGGTTGTTTCCGATCGCTGGCATTGATAAGTCCAGGATGAAGAAGATAACTCTGATTCAAATTCCTGTCGTCCGAGGATGGTGTTACCGGCCGCACTTTTTCCAGCTCCAGTTTTTCCGACCAGGATCATGCGGAGCTGTTGGTCTTTCTTCTTTTGCTTCTTGGAGCCTGAAAGTAAAGCAAAGGGTTGTTTCACATTTGGGTTTTATTATTCCAGATTTAAACGGGTTCTATGGGCTCTATTCATGCTTACTTCTCAAAACAAGAAGACGTTTGGAAATATGAGGATGATGACTTCAGGTGAGCTCTATTGACTCTAGTAACTTTTTTTCATCAAAATTTCATTGTATTCTTTTATTTTCCTTTTGTATATTATCATTTGTCAAACTTAAAAAAAAATATATATATATATATATTAGGGGTGTCAAATTATCGCGTTAATTGCGATTAATTAATTACAGTCATATTTAGCGCGTTATGTTTTTTAATCGCGTTAATTCCATTTTTAATCTCTAACTTTAGTGTTTCTGTATGTGAGTTTCTTTATTATAAAACCTGTTTTTATGTGTTGTTGGGACAACAACACACACACACACACACACACACAAAACACATTTATACATTTTTTTATTTCGGTAATTCCACTCATTGCCGGAAACCCACACAAAACGCGCGCAGTAACAGCGATGTAAACGTCATGTTAACGTTGGCGGCATCAGTCGCACAATGGACGAGGTCGTAGAGCCAGTAGAACAGAAGCAGCAGTGCACAGGTAAAAACACATTCGTGTCTTGGAAATTATTTTCCCGACGTGAAATATAAAAGAAAATAACAAATATAATATCGCCTGAAAACAACCTGCATAGGCTCATGATGTCTGCACTACTGTCCTATAGTGACCTGCCACATGAGGGGACACGCACACAAACACACACAAATACACACAAACACAAACACACACAAACAAATACACACCTTCATCATCGTCATTAACCTGAGAACGCGCGGACCACGTTTCCTTCCGTAGACACTGCGCGGACACCGACGTGCTCCCGTGAGCCGCGTGTGGATCGTGTTTTCTCGCGTACGCGGCGTAAACCGCGCTTCCTCCTGTGCGCCTCTAAACCAGAACTAACACCAAGACTAAAACCAGGACTAAACCAGGTCTAAACCAGGACTAAACCAGGACTAGACCAGAACTAAAACCAGAACTAAAACCAGGTCTAAACCAGGACTAAACCAGAACTAAAACCAGGTCTAAACCAGGTCTAAACCAGGACTAAACCAGGACTAAACCAGGTCTAAACCAGGTCTAAACCAGGACTAAACCAGGACTAACACCAGGACTGACACCAGGACTAAACCAGGTCTAAACCAGGACTAAACCAGAACTAACACCAGGACTAAAACCAGGATTAATCCATTCCAGGACTAAACTAGGACTAAAGTAGGTCTAAACCAGGACTAAAACAAGGACTAAAACCAGTGATCTCATATATATTTCTCTATCAATAATATTTTTAATATGGTTAAGGAAAGACTGGACTTTTTATTGTCTTTAAGTAGACAAAAGTTATTATGTTCAGATTTCCACGTCTTTGCTACTTTACAACAAACAGTTTCTTATTCATGGAGACTTGGGCTCAACAGCCAATTTGGAGAGATTTGTTAAACAATAAATGACTTTATAAAGTCACTTTTTTAAATCTATATTAGTCTTTTGATCTGCCACAATAATGTAATAATGAATTTAAATGAAAATACCTCAAATTGAAGGCTTTTCTCAGCAATTTTTAGGTGAGATTAAAATGAGATTAATTAGATTAATTAATTACAGATCATAATTAATTAATCTCTCAATTTTTGTAATCGCATGACAGCACTAATATATATATATATGTCATCGTAGCATTCTGTAATGTTTGGCAGGTCAACAGTTACACCCAGCTGCCTGAAAGTGACGTGGAAGATGAGATTAGAGTCACATTGCCCATGGAAATATTTATCACATGTCCAATGTCGGTAACTACACCAGAAGTCACCATGCGCATGTTTCCAAACGTTTTCCGTTAAGTGTGAATAAAGCCTATTGATGCTTTGTAGTGATATCATGCTGCAGGTGTTCTGCATGTATGTCTATGGCGGATTGTTGGGGAGTTACCCTGGTGACACCATGTACACATTAGCAAGCACTGCCAAATAAATAATAATAAAAAAAAAAAGATTTAAGATAGTTTGGAAACAAACAAACAAAACTGTGAAAACAGTGCATTTTTAGGAGCCTGTGATCAGTATGAGTATCTTGTTTTGGTGTTTGATTTTTAACAAAAAAGGTGAGAGTGACTAACTGACCAGCTTGTAACCTTAATTTTATGTCTGACAGTTTTGCTTAACAGCATAAAGCAGCTCAACTGTTTTACTTCCAACTAAGTCAACGCTTTATGATCAGATTGCGTTAAATTAAAAACTTTGATTAGTCTAACTCAGGGGTGTCAAACTCAAATTCACAGAGGCCAAAATTAAAAACTGGGACTAAGTCGTGGGCCAAACTAAATGTTTATTGAAAAATGTAATCAACATCTGCATGTTTCTCTTCATTTGAGATATGTAATATTAAACATTTTCTTATTAAAATAAATGTTTAATAATAGTTTTGCACATACATTGAATCCAGAACAAGTATAATATAAAATAATAAAAAAAAAATAAAAATAAATAAATAAAGGGGTCTACAACCTGTAGCTTGGAAGCTACCAGGAGCTCTCCATCTCCTTCCAAGCAGCTCGCCAAGGGATTTCTGAATCATACATATTGTGCTGAATAACTCAGATTTGAATGATTAAATGCCTATTTCCTTTGTAAATGTATAATTCTTATACCTAAATTTATGCACTTATAACTGGATAATGGGTTATGTTTTATAGACATTTAGTTGTACCTCGTCATCAGCTTACCATGGTTCTTATATTTACAAAATTTCTGGCAACTGCAAAAACTAGCAGCTCTCTGGCATTTTCATTTTACAAAAAGTAGCTCACAGAAGGAAAAAGGTTGGGGACCCCTGCTCTATAGTCTATATGTAGCCGGCAGGTAGCTCTAATACATATTGGATATGATCTCACGGGCCAAATATAATTATATTACAGACCAAATTTGGACCCCGGGCCTGAGTTTAACATGTCTGGTCTAACTTGCCTCTAACCTCTAACGTGCCTCCAGTTATCACCACACCTCCAGGAAATGCTGATGACATCAGCGGCAAAGAGTCTGTTATCGGTTTGTCCAGTGGGCATGGGCAAATTCCAGAAAATCTCTAGAGCAGAGCGAGCTAAAGATAAAGATTAAAAAGCTATTTAAAAACACCTGAAGGATTTTGAACAGAGAAAAATGTTTATGATTTGGAAATGGGCAAAAAGCTGTAAAAATCTGACCTTTTTGAAATCTGTAGTGTAATCTGTTTGTGTTTACGTTGCGCTCTATGACTTGCTTGACAGGTGACAGGTTTAAGCTTTAGTAATATCCAGATATTCTAATAAATCCATGACCAACCTGTTTAGGAACTGCAGGTGTAAATAAAGTCTTATAAGGCACAAACTTATTTCTTCTTTTATGTAAGTCAGTCTCTCCCTCATAAATAAACAAATAAACTAAATAGTGAAACCACTCACACCCAAACAATTAACTTTTCACTTCACAACTTCAGCCCTGTTATTGTTTGAGAGTTGGGAGTGACACTACAGGGTTAGGAGAACATTTTATTACTCTTATAATTATGACATGAAAATTACAACTCAATGATGCATTCTATTATTACTCTAAATGCAACTTCACATTTAGCCATGTCTATATGTACAAATGCAGTAAATCATATCCAAATCCACATCAGATTGGACAAAACAAAACAACAACAAAACAAAAAACATTGGACTGTAAGTTAAATTATGCATCTAGCTACATAACTGCAAGACAAATCACTTTTTCAAACTAAAAGTGAAGGTAAGAGAAGTACTTGTATTCAAAGTGCGTCACCATCTTTAGATTAAATTCTGACTTCATTCACAGAGATACTCCATCAGCCTGAGAATAGAACCAGCAACTTTCTCTCTCAGTACTCTTCATACAAAAACATCTGTTATCATAGTATTACAAAATGCTACAAGAAGACATTTAGAAGATTGAAATAGCTTCTAGTTGATCAATTCTTGATAGCCCAATTGATATTTTGTTAATTAATTTAACAAAATATATGTATTAATCAAAACAAGATAAAAAGTTGCATTATACATTCAGAAGTATCACAGTCAATTATACTCTACATATACTACATAGGGTTCAGAAACTAAAAGGCAAGACTAAGATATTTACATTTGAAGTAACCTTCAAAGTTACAATTTAAATATGTGGGCAAAAGTGTGAATACATAAGTTAAAAAAAAAATAAAAAATTTAATATTAGGGGTGTTAAATTATTGCGTTAATTACGATTAATTAATTACAGTCATATTTTGCACGTAATGTAATATATATAATATGTAAGATAATGATTAAGATGAAGATAATGGTTAAAATTGTTAGTCGCTAAGGCAACCCATGGCTATCCATTCACTGTATTCGGCATCCTTTGGACACGTGTATAGACAAAGCCCCTATGGATGCCCCAACCGCCGCCCCGGCCGCCACCCCCACCGCCAAACCGATCGGACCCCCTGCCAAACCCAACAGCCCCCCTATGGCCGCCCCGCACGCTGTCGTCACGGCGATGACCGGTGCTGCCGTGAACTCGTTGGACCTCTCCGCTCTCATCCTGGCCTCGTTGTGGTATCTGATATTGACGTTGCTTTCCTCTTTGTAGTAGGTCCTTTGGTTTTTAGCATATTTGGCACGCAGTTCCTCCAGTTCTTTCATCCGTTGTTCTTCTAGCTCCTTCAGAACCCGCTCCTTCTCCTTCTCAATGGCCTCCTCTGCTCTTTTGAACATCTCATTGGTGTAATACCCTCCTCCATTCTTTTGTATCATCTTTTCAATTTTATCCAACAGCTGATAGGTTTGTTTCTCATCTTTGATTTCGTTGTTGAAGACGTGGTAGCGGTTGTGGCATTTCTGAATCAGCTCCAACAGATCCGCACTTTCAGCGATGTAGGACTCGATACTTTGCCTTCTTAGCTGGTCGCCGTGCGTGAACAAAACCATGGAGTAGTTGGCTGCCTCTTCGCCAAAAGTGGTTTGAATCATTTCAATAGTGTCTTTTTCTTCTTTGGTGAACCTTCCAAGCTGTAAACAAATCAAAAACGCGTGCGGACCAGGAGAAGACAGCGATATGCACATTTTAATCCTCTTCAAAACTTCCTCTTGGGTGTAATTTGTGTCGAAAAGACCAGGAGTATCTATCACAGCAATTTTTCGACCACCGATGTCTCCTCTGGCTTTGTGGCATTCGGACGTCATGGAGGAAGGGGACAGCTCCGATTCAAACGCCTCTCGTCCAAGGATGGTATTCCCGGCAGCGCTCTTCCCAACTCCAGTTTTTCCAACCAGAACGAGTCTCCATTCGCCCTGGTCATAGCCCTTATAGCCTGCCAGACACAAATATTGGTAGTTTTCAGATCGGAGAATGTAAGGATTCAATACTTTCAAATGAGGACGGAGCCAGTTCAGTAAGCTATTTGTTGAAAATTGCTTTAAAGAAACAGTTTAGAATTTCGGACATGGGACCTCATTTCCTAGTAAGTGTTGGAGATGTTTGGAGATACTTTTAAATATTCCATCCAGTCCTTGTATTTGCAGAGGTCGTTGGTGCTAGGCTAGCGCATGTCAATGGCCATAGATAGTCTGTCACTAGAAACAGTCTTACCCACTCCACAAAGCATCTGAGGCAAAACAGTTATTACTCCAGACTGTCGATGTAAATGTCTGTGTCAATAAAATAACTTTAGAAGTAAAACCAACCTTGCATTTGAAGGATTTATGTCTAAGCAGCAGCAGCGGTTTGTACTTCCTGATAGAAAGCTCGGCAGCGGTTGAGTGATACATGAGAAAATAGTCCCTCAACATGCAATGTTTTATGCCATGCAAGGTTAGTTTTCTTTCAAACATTATTCTATCAACACAGACATTTACATCGACAGTCTGGCGTGATAATAGATTTGCTTTGGGTGTTATTTGGAGTGCGTAAGACTGTTTTCAGTGGCAGGCTAACTATGGCCATTGACATGCACTAGCCTAGCACCAGCGACCTCTGCAAATACAAGGGCTGGATGGAATATTTAATAAAGTGTCTCCACACGTCTCCAACACTCTGGCTCACTAGGCGATGAGGTCCAATGTCAAAAATTCCAGACTGTCCTGAAATAGTTTTAAGATGGACTATGTAACTTTTCTGGCACTGGTCTCCATGGAGATGTCATTGCTTTGCAGAGAATGCTCAACAGTATGGCATTAAAGGTTCTATATTACACAATACTAACTTTTGCAAGCTTTTAATCATGTTAGAGAAATGTTACCTGGAGTTGTGTTTTGTTTCCTTCACACATGTTTGAGTTATCCAGCATTATTAGTCTAGTTAAGTTAACAGCTCCTTTTACCTTTAGTAACAAGACTGAAATTTTCCAATAAAACACAATTCCAGGTATGTTTTTGATGAGGAAACAACATACGTAGATCAGAAAACAGTGTAATATGTGCCCTTTATAAATGTACATCTTGCATTTATTCAGTTACAGGTGTTTGTAGTGCTAATAGAAATACCTTGAGGTAGGGCCGTCTGTTCATAGATCTGACCTGGTAGTTTCATATGCTTGTCTCCATGGAGATAGCAATACAGAGGAACATTCCAGGTAAATAAATAACAACTCCATGGAGACAACCAGAAAAGTCACACAGTCTTATATCTTTAAGCTTGTTTTGTTGTGCTGTAGTGTTTCATTGAGATGGGTTTCAGACAAGATTTCGGTGTTTTTTGTTGTTGGTTAAAAAAAATAAAATAAAAAATCACTACACCCATACAAGACACTGGCTCCTGCCCCACCTGGAGTACTGACATTATTACATTCAAGAGTCTGAAAATAACCAATAGGTCCGCTACCCTGTACCGTGTGTGTACGATATCTGAAGAGGAAATCTGAACGGACTGCATTCTTCACAGTCATGGGGCCAAAGCATTTGACAGGAGAATTTGTCATCTTGATGATTTGGACAACGCAAAACACAATAAACTTAAGAACTGAATTTAACAGGTACAATAGAGAATGCATCTTTATAAGGAAAAGGAAAAAAAACTGTTTGTTTAGGACTGTTATTTTTTACGCAATATTTTAGGTACTATATACTCTTGAACTTTATGTTTTACTGGTGTTTCCTCATCAAAAACATACCTGGACTTGTGTTTAGTCCGTCTACATCTGCCGAAGCTCAAAATGCTCTATTCCACCTTGTGATGTCATGAAGTTGTAGTTTTCAACAGCTACTTTTTACTTTTAGTTTAGTAGAGATTGGCATTTCCAGGACTGAAATCTTCCAAATGATTCTAGTGAAGGTGTATGGAGTTTAAAAACACAGTGGAGTACTTCCTGTATTGAGTGCTTTCTGTTTGAGAGAAGAAGTTAACCTAAATATGCAGGATTTGTGTGTTAAACATGTGAATGAAACAAAACACAACTCCAGGTCTGTTTGTGATGATGAAACAACATTGTAACATAAATCAGAAAATTGCGTAATATAGGCCTTTTAAAACAATGAATGCAAATTAGAACAATGTATATATTTATTTTACTTTTATTTATTTAATACGTTTTTAGTTATACCTTTTTACTATTCTATTTATAGCAACCTGACGTCTTTAACAATGCACATTGTTGCACCCAATCAGGTTAGTCCTGTTCTTTACTTTCTCAGGGCTTCAGCGAGCACTTGATTTAGACACATGTGTGGTAGTTTACATTAAATTGTGAAATTCAATTTGTCAACTGGACAAACGTTTATTATGTCCAGCTAACAATTTGAATTTCTCTTTTGCCATGGATTCTACCTGGACGACTGAGGGATTCTACACATTAAATTGTGATATGGTCATATAATGTAGTTTTAATTAGTTTGCCTAAACAAACACTGAAATATATTTAGTGAAATTATAATATACTATTTTCAGTTTCAACCCTAATTTTTGTCAGTGTTTATTTGTATGTGTCTATTTTCTTTTTGGTATTCACATGCGACAGTTATAAATAGTTTTTCACGAATGAATCAAAATCCTACAACCCTCTTTTCGACCTTTTGACTAAAGGCAAATATAAATGGGCCTCACAATTTAATTAAAGCTGCACTGTGTAACTTTTCTGGCGGAACAGAGGGAACGCCATCTGCATTGCATGTGAGATTGTATTGCTTTGCCTGAAATGTTCCACAGTATGACCTTCAAAACAAGCAAACATGGAAACAAGAAGTTAACCCCAGCAGGCAAAGTTACAGGTCGGATCTGTGAAGAGGCGACCCCGCTCACAGTAAGAACGCATGTTTATTTGAGATTCAATAAATGTGTGCTACATACGTTAAATACAATACTGTGGGACATTTCAGGCAACTCAGTCAAATCTCCATGGTGGTGTTTCTCAGGTGGTGGAAGACGTACTCAGTTTTGTTACTTAAGTAAAAGTACAGATACTGGAGCAAAAAATACTCAAGTAAAAGCAAAAGTATCACATGAAAAAATCGGCTTAAGTAAAAGTAAAAGTATGCTATTTCTTGCATATTTGGAGATCTAATAAAGCTTCAAAAGTTGTGAAAGTGATTTTGATAAAGATTTGAGTAAAAATTTGGTTCAGCAGAGACAACTAAATCCATTTTTTAGCTGTTTTTATTTGTTGTATATTTGTGTTTGTTCAAATTACTCTTCAAAATAAAATCTCCTTTTCAGCAGGTCTCAATTTTATCATAAAAATACTTATACTTTTCAGTCCTGTTCTAAAATGTAGTGCAGTCGAAAGTACAGATACCTGCTCTCAAATATAGTGAAGTGAAAGTATAAAGTATCCACTGTATCTGCTTCAGTAAAGTTCACATTCCCAACCTTTTTACTAAAGTAAGTGCAGTATTTTACAAATTTTACTTTGTTATATTCCATCACTGCATTTTTCCCACCAGAAAAGTTACATAGTGCATCTTTAACCCTGTAAACTTAAAATGGGATTCTGACCTTTGTAGTATCCACTCATGTTGAAATCGTCTCCAGTCTTTAGTCCACCTGCTTCGGTTGTTGTCTTATGGTACTACAAGTGTGTCTCCTGCTCCTCTCTGCTAACCTTTCATTTCACCAGCCAATGGGCGTTTCCTGTGTTCTCTGACAAACCAGTATTTCAGATCCACATACTTAGAACACAAGTCATACAAGAGGGGACGCTGCCAAACTCTACACATGGTAAAAACTAAAGGTGCAGAAAAGTAAAGGGCCTATGTTACGAGAAATGGACTCTTGTGAGTGTTTAGCCATGTTAGAATGATTGGTCAAAAACATACCTGGAGTTGTGTTTTGTTTCATTCACACCTATTTGAGTAAACCTGGTTAATAGTCTGTAATAATAATCTCCATAGCTGTTCCACCTTGTGATGTCATGAAGCGGTAGTTTTCATGTTAATGTTTCATGTTTAGTCGAGATCGAAATTATCCAAATAAGTCTAGTGAAGGTGTATGGAGTTTAAAACCACAATGGAGCTCTTCAGGGTCTCTCAGGGTGTTTTTTTTTTTCTAGAGTAGAAACTCTAGAAATCTGCAGGGTTTGTGTGTTAAACATATGTGAATGAACCAAAATACAACTCCAGGTATGTTATTGACGAGCAAACAACATTACAACATAGATCAGAAAATAATGTAACATAGAACCTTTAAATTAAATCAACACAACTTTGGCTTGTAATATGAAGAAATATTTTCTTTTTAAACAATGGAACTAAAAAGGAAGAAAATGCAATGATAATTTACCAACTATGACTGATGATGTTTGAGATACTGTAGTCCAAATGATTCAGTTTCCTCATTCATTACAGACTGGATTCAATATTTTAAAGGTGCACTGTTTCACTTTTGTGGTGGAGAGGCTTACCTGTTATTGGCCTATTGTTATTGTTATTGGCCTGGCCTACTAGCACCACCAGTTTAATACCATACTGTGGAACATTCCAGATAAAGCAATAACATCTCCATGGTGACACTTACATAGTGCACAATCAGTTTGATTTGACTGATCATGATCTGAAGATTTGAGTTTTTATTTTAGTAATATATAGTTTCAGATTATTTTGTAAAAGGGGCACTATGTAACTTTTTGGTTGGGGGTCCATCACCTGGTTGTTTCTATGGATATGTCATCTGGAATGTTTCACAGTATGGCATTAAACCTTTCTATCTTCATGGACAACAAACTAGACTGAGTTACAGGTCAGATCTGTGGAGAGGAAACGCCCTCTCAGTCAGAATGTCTGTTTTTCTAGGTATTTTTAAGCTGTAAAACCACCTGTAATTTAATAAATGTAAGGTTTGCTGTTTAATGTCATACTTTGGAACATTCCAGACAGAGCAATGACATATGCATAGAAACAACCAGCTGACAGACCCCCAACCAAAAAGTTACATAGTGCACCTTTTACAAAATGTTTTCAAACTATATATTACTAAAATAAAGACTCAAATCTTCAGATCATGATCAGTAGTATTTCTGTTAAATGAAGTCAGTGCAGGTGAGGCACTTGTGTAACAGGGATTTACAGGATGTACTGTATATCTAATTGCATAGTTCTGAACTGGTTTGGTTATTCTTGCAGTCATCTTTGTTTAGTGACAGGAAATTGCAAACATCATCATGACTTACAATAAGTGATAGGTGTTGGTGGAAGAGCAAGGCAATAGAATCAAATAGAAATCTTTACATAATAAAATAAAACATTTGGAAATGTATTTGCTGCTTGAGTAGGGTGACCAGATTTTTAAAAAAAAAAATCTAAACTGGGTCATTTGCAAACATGGTTTTCTGTATTTTGGCTGAACAAATGACAATTTATGCTACTCTTTTACTCTCTTACTGTTGGCGGGGATCGGATTTGTCAAGAATTGTGATTGTCCTGTTTTAGTCCTGGTTTAGACTTGATGTAGTCCTGATTTAGTCTTCATTTAGTCCTGGTTTAGATCAAACTGGTCAAAAATAGGGACACCTGGGAGATTTCTTGTGTAAACCTGGGACAAATCAATGGTTTTGAATAAATCTGCAGGGACAGGGGACACAGAGCTCAAAACTAGGACTGTCCTGGATAAGCTCAATATTCCCTTTAGGTGTGATGGTAGCTGAAGACTGCTCTGTCTGAAGCTCTGTTGCTCAAGACATACTTTAATCTGATCTTTATTTTAACAAAATCTGACCAGAAAGAAGAGACAGTTTTCCATTTTGATTACATTGAACTTTGCCATGAAATATCCAAAAGGTAAATTCACAAATGTTGAACCTGATATTTTAAATTAGTGACTAAACTCAAGAACTCAAAGTACCAAAGTCAACAGTCAAGTCAATAGCCTCTTAGTTATTCTGTAAAGCACTTTGCATTACTTTGTGTGCGATTGTGCTATACAAATAAACTTGCCTTTCCTCTTTTATTTTTTGTAGTCAGGTGAAAGTGGGGCTTAAGTAGGATATACTAAGTCATTTAGTAGTAGCAACATGACTCAGTCACTTTCATTTGTAATTCTCTCATTAAAGTGATGACTAATTACTATTCAGAGCTAATGATTTATAGAGTGGCAGTGGATTAGGACATGTCCCTGTCTTCACCACTAGATGGCAGCATTCTCTATGATTTTAAAGTGCATAAAAGTTACACATGTTACTAAAATATATATGTTTTGCCTTAAATATGTTAAAAATCTGTTTTTACAGTAGATTGCATTTACAGCTGTCTTTTATTTTGAAGGCCTCATTAGGGACAGGAAGTCATGACAGGAAGTCAGCCATATGTTTGTTTTATTTGCTCTCAATAGCACATGTGTTCATCCTCTGACATTTGCCTTTTTGTTCGTGCCTTTGACCTCACTGTCTGTAAGTTGTCCTTTATACAGATAAGAATTATAAAATCCTTGCTCTGTTTGTAAAGGATGGTTATTAGAAATGTGTTTTTATTGAAGAATATGTATTCATATGATTGTAGTTAAGCTAACCTTATATTTTGTACTGTGCTAAGTAGAGTTTTCTCTGTTTTGCAGTTTCACTCTGTTTTTGAAACCATCTTTGTGGAGAAATAAATTGGAGCTATGGACACTAGATCCTGACTGCGCATGTTTCAAAAAAGGGTTACACTTACTGCTAAATTGTGTTAGAAACACACAAGGAAAGCATAATAATATAACATATCATAACCTGATTAAATTAATTTAAAATCTCACTTTTATGATGATGATGATGATCCAGTCCAACTTTATTTCAAATGCACTTTATATAGTTATAATAGGTCATAAAATAGACATTACAAAAAACTTAGATACATAAACAGCCACCAGACACTAAAACGTCAACATTAATCATAGTGAAAAGCTAAAATGAAGAGGTGAGTTGATTTAAAAACCAAAAGTGACCAAAAGCTGGTCTAAGGTGTGAGGACATGAATAGATAAACTTGCATTTTCTCTTATTGAGCTCTTTGAATTCTCAGTTATCAGTGTCATTTCACTGTATCACTCACTTCTTCTTACTAAGCACAAATCCCACTGCCGCCCCAGTTGGACCGAGCACTGTAAAGGCTTGAGCACAACGCTGTTTACAGTGAATATCTCAGCTTTCCTCTGAACCTCAGCGATGTGTCTTTATCATTTTATCAACTTTTTTTCCTTCTCCTTCTGAGTTGCCTCCTCCGCTCTCTTAAACATCTCATTGGTGTAATACCCTCTTCCATTCTTTTGTATCATCTTCTCAATTTTATCCAGAAGTTGATCTGTCTGTTTGTCATCTTTGATTTGATTGTTGAAGACATGGTAGTGGTTGTGGCACCTCTGGATGAGCTCTGATAAATCTTTATTTGCTTCTATGAAAGACTCAATACTATAATTCCCAAGCTTATCTCCATGCGTGAACAAAACCACTGTGTAGTTTGCTGCCTCTTTTCCGAACATTTGTTGTATCAGTTGAACAGTATCTTTCTCTTCTTTGGTGAACCTTCCAAGCTGTACACAAATCACAAATGCATGTGGACCAGGCGCAGACAGGGAAATGCACATTTTGATTCGCTCCACAATTTTTTCCTCAGAAAAATTTGTGTCGAAAAGCCCAGGAGTATCGATTACAGCAATTTGTCGACCACCAATGGTTTCTTCATCTTTATGACATTCAGATGTTACGGAGGAGAAAGAAGGCTCCGACACAAACGCTTCTCGTCCAAGGATGGTGTTCCCAACAGCGCTCTTCCCCACTCCAGTTTTTCCCACCAAAACGAGCCTCCAGCCTGTCAGGAAAAAAAACACAATTCGCACCCATAAGAAACGGTAGTTTACAGATTCTAAATGGGATGATGTCATACTCCCACAGGGGCCAAGAGGCAGTTTCCTGACTGATTATATTGCACTGTCATGAAAAAGGTAAATTCCCAAATGATTATTCTGATCATTTGTATTAGTGACTAGACCGTAGCACTCATTATAATTACAACTAATATCTGCATTTTAACAGTATTCATTATAGCTGCCCTCCACTTGTTTTACCTATTATTGTCTTATAGAATATTGTGGTGTAATCTGAAACCGAGCACTACTGAGAATCAACAGACTGTCATACAGCAGCAGCTTTAAGTGATTTCATTCAGTTATTTCTAGAGCCCGACCGATATATCGGCTGGCCGATATTATCGGCCGATATGGACACTTGGAGACATATCGGCTATCGGCCGATATGCTTTCTGATATGGGACCGATATTTCACGTGGGCATGTTATACCTCGTTATAAAGCTTAGACTCTCTACATTATGTTCATTTAATCCAATTTACAGACAAATAAATGTCCTAATATGTGGCTCCTGCATCAGTATTTATCTGCGGTGTAATTTGTCTGTGTGTGTGTGTCCGTATTGTCCCTGAACACACCACAGAGTCACGTCACTTCATTCACGTGTGTTTGTTTACACCCGCTGCCGTGTGCAACACTGAGATTATATTCTTTTTACGAACAATCGGTTTGAGTCTGGATTAAAAGGACATTTATTAGTGCAGACTTGTGATGTGAGGAGGAGCCTGTGTGAGCGGTGAGTGTTGGAAATACATCGACTTTGAAGCTAGTTTAGGTTTTGTTAGCGGTTAGCTGCTGTAGCTCCCACACATAAACAGGCTGTTTTCTACTGGCCTATTGTAAAGTGACTATATTGGCTATATTTGTTACTGGACCAGTATTGATATGTAAATGAGCTGTGAATAGACGTGTGAATGATCCACATTTATGCATATAATTAATTACCGCCGCGCGCATGTTTTTACGGCTAAAGGCTAATAGCGCTAGTTTATTTACTAGCTACGAGTTATGGGTCGGTCGCGATCGAAGCGGCTCTTAGATCTGGCTCTTTGAAGCGAACAACGGGAGCATGTTTCTTATTGGGAGCCGTGTTTTCTCTTTTTCTCACTTTATGTAGACCCTTAGTTTGACAGCAGCAGCGGCTGAAAACGAAACTTTCAGAAATATGCGTGTGCACTGGATTAAAAAAAAGTGCATATTTGGCTGCAGTTCAGCATAAAATGAATAAACCAGGGATAATCTTGGGCTCGAGTGCAGGAGAGAGATAGAAACCGAGTCCCGACACTCAGTCCTGGTTCAGTTCTGGTTTAGTCCTGCTTGCAACAAAACAATCTCAAGAGCCGCTTGGGAGCCGAAAGAGCCAGCTGCTTTAGTGAGCCGAGCCAAAAGAATTGGTTTTTCAAAAAAAACAAACAAACTGGAATACCCATCACTAGTAGCTAGAATGTGATGCAAAAATGCCATTAGGCCAATCTGCTGTATGTAAATATGATGTAAAGAGTCAGAATAACAATAAATGTTGCCTAAATAAAACCAATTTAGAATCCACTAGAGCCAAACCTAAGTTTTTTAAACAATTCAAGATTTACAGTGAATTTTTACATCACTAAATATATCGGTGATTATATCGGCTATCGGCAGCTCCAACTCCCATTATATCGGTTTCATATCGGCTACAACAAAATCCATATCGGTCGGGCTCTAGTCATTTCTCAACAATTCAACAAAGCACTTTGTACAAGGGCATCCATACTTTATATGTAAGTATCTTAGTTTTACATTATAGTTACCACAAATGGTAGCTGTTAACTTGAAAACAACCACTTCATGACGTCACAAGGCGGAACAGATGATTTTGACCTTTGGAGATGCACAGACTAATATTATCATTAAATATTATTAAGAAATATACTTTTATATTTCTAACATTTGAGTGATCCTGTTGGGTATCTTGCGTACCAGATTTTTCACAACCAGGAGCCGCAGGAGTCAGGACCAGAGCCTCCTCTAGAGGAGCCTGTTCTGTGAACTTAGACAGAAATGCTTCTCTGTCAGAGCAGCAGGGGTCTGGAACTCCACACCTGTACCTGTGACGGAGTGTAGCACTTTAAGACATTTCAAATTGAATGTGAAGAAGTGGTGTAAAAAGAGTCAGGGTTATAGACATTAGTGATCTGCTGTCTGTAGGAATAATGTGTAACTACAAATAATGCTTGTTGGCTTTTGTGTATTTTTAGCTGTATTTTAAATGTTGGACCATTTTATGAAGTACTTGTAACAGCACACTGATAACCTGCTCTCACTGTCCTCTGTCCAGGGACTACAGATGAAAATGAGCCTGTAGCTAAGTGTGTCTGTGTAATATATTTACTGTGCAATGTCACTGACAAACAAATACATAAATTATGAGCATTTCTTTGTCAAAAGGATAATTGTTAAAAAATCACCCCAAAAAACAAACAAAATCTATAACAGAAAATATAAAAGGAGAAACATTTTAAATATTTAAAATAAGGATTAAAATCACAGACCTGTGAAACAAAACTAAACAAATAAATTAGCAGATATTTTAGACACTAAATAATCTTAAAATCTGACCTGAATTCATGTTGGAAAAATGTTCAGTCGAAACTGTCCACGTGCTTCAGTCTGGTCCAGTGTCTCCTGCTCCTCTCTGCACTTCTCTCTCGTTGTTTGCCAGTGGGACTTTGTGACTGTTTAGTTTTGCTTTCAGTTTTGTTATGTCACATTCTACTTTTACTTTTGCTTTTTTGTTATATTTTAATCTGTGTTTATTATGTAAAGTAGAATAAAGGCCTATGTTACATTATTTTCTGATCTATGTTATAGTGTTTCCTCATCATAAACATACCTGGAGTTGTGTTTTGTTTCAGTCACACATGTTTAACAGTATTACTCAAACAGGTGTGAATGAAACAACACAACTCTGGATATGTTTTTGAGGAGGTAACAACATTCTGACATGCCTTAGAGCTCACAAGAGTCAGTTTTGTGCAATATAGGACCTTTTAACTTGATAACATTTATAATCTCCATCTTCATCATCTTCATCAATCTTCATCTTCAGTCATAATGAGTAAATTTTTTTAAATAATGGATTGTAATGTTATGTTTTTATCAATGAGGACCCCAAAGCAGAGACAAAGGCAGGTAGGTTTTAATAGTTTATATACAAGGTTGTGCAGACTGTGGTGACGGAGGTAGACTGGAGGCAGGTAGGTCCAGGAACTGCAGCAGAGGCTCTGGTGAGATGACCTGAACACAGATTCACAGATTCATTCAGGTAAGAAAAAGCACTGGTAAGTAACAGCACTGGATTACAGACAGCAGATCACTACTGCATGAAACAGAAAGATCTGCAGTGAAGAGAAGGCAGAGCAGGGTCTTTATACTCCAGCTGATAGTGAATGAGCTGCACTTGTGCCTCTCTGCAACAGGAGCTCCAGCCATGCCCCCATCACATACCAGCTCTGCACAAAGAGGAAACACACAAAAACACCAAACACTATACACTACACACTGTATGCATTCATGAACATTTCTGTAAATGTATCAGAATGTATCTGAAGGGCTAATTATTAAAAAGTCACCCTAAAAACCAAACACAGCAGTAATAGAAAACATAAAAGGACAAATTTGTACAGATTTTATTCCATGAAATATCTTGTAGAATAAATTATATAGACTAAATATCCCCCAGCAGGATTTCCCTTATATCACAACATTTCTGGGAAGCAGAGTGTGACAAATAACAAAACTGAAAGTGAAAGTAAACTCTTTAAAAGAAAAGAGCAGGGAGGAGCAGCAGACATTGGACCAGACTGAAGCACATGGACAACATCTACTGAAGACTTTTCCAACATGAGTTCAGGTCAAACTTTATGATTATTTTGTCAGCAAAATTATTGTATAATTAAATTTGTAGTTTCAATCTTAAAGCATTATTGTGGTTAATACAAAACTAAATACATTTTCTACAATATATGTATATGTGTATGTGAATATAATCTGTACAGATTATTCTTCCTCTCCTCATTTCCTTTTATTGGTTTTATTTGTTTTTTAAAGTGACTTTTTAACACTTAGCCCTTCAGACTAATTCTGATACCTTGAGAGAAATGTTCATGCATATAATATAAATGTTCATACATATATAAATGCATATATAGTCCATGACAATAGGCAAATATATAAATGATCAGAGCTCAGTTACTGACTGAATATGCAATATTTTATCATTATCAAGTGAAAGGTTTGAAATGATTCCAGTGAAGGACTTTAAAAACACAGTGGCGCACTTCCTGTATCACCATAAGATGGAACAGAGTGTTTTGTGTTTGAGGGGAGAATTAAAATATGCAGAACATGTCAGGATGAAAGAGGTATGTTTTTGATGAGGAAGCAACATTATACCACAGATCAGAAAATAGTTTAATATGAGCACTAAACATTTCTGTCAGTTATAATGTAAAACTAAAATATCTGAATATAGATGCCCTTGTACAGATTGCTTTACTTTTGGTCTGAAAAAAGCCTAATAACATAAAATAACAGAAGACCAAATGAGCCTCACTGGACTATCACAGACTGCTTTGTTAATTCAGTCAATCATTGTTGTTATAACAGGAGGACTATGTGCAGTATATGCTGGGACACTTCATCCAAAACAATGCTCCAGTCAGAGAGTGAAGGAGGACACTTGAATAGTTTTATGGAGCTTTAATGCTTTTTCTTCTTTCTGTCTAGTTTATAATAACATTTAAATAATATTACTCACTGAAATGACATTAACAGAGTAGTGATGTGAATGACTGTTAAACAATGTATGTCCACAATCACA